ACCAGATTACCACAAAGGATTAATATGCACAACATATAAAGAAGTCTTATAAAGCACGCAGTTATTAGTTAAAAAATAAGAGAGCAAAAGATAGGAAAATACTTAACATCACACTAGTAATCAAAAGGTGTTAACATCTCAATAAATCATCACTACCTACTCACTAGAATGGTTGAAACTGTGATCACCAGGATGCAGAACTTTTTTCAGGAGGTGGTTTGCTCTATTATTACAGTTTCTGATTTTTTTCTTTGAGTTAAATTTAATGTTTGCGCTTGGATTTTTTTTTAATACAAAAGGAAAAAATAAAAAGATGCTGAAAAGGCCAAGTGTCCACAAGGGGTAGGAGTGGCAGGATTGGCCAGAAAAAAAAAACCAAAAAAAAAAAAAAAAAAAAAAACCCAAAAAACCAACAACTATACCAATTTTGAGCGGAAATTTAATTTGACACAAGCCCAAGAAAAATTTGCAAGAGCCCCTGACTACTCTATTTGTTTCTGGCTGTAGGAACTCACACACAGTGCCTAAGGAAGCAGTGCCCACTGCCTATAAATAGCAAAGAATTGGAGAGAACCCAATTATCCAGCCATTAGGAAAGTTAAACTATTATTTTTTCCACCCATAAAAGCATAATCAAAATGATTAAATCAGATCTGCACATATCTACACGGCTAAATCAGAAAAACATAATAGGCCTGCAAACAGAAATTTGCAAAAGTATACAATACAGTACTACTTATGGCAGTTGTCAGATAGGTGTGGGAGATGTTTTGCCTCAGCTATAGCTGGCAATGGGCGCTGGATAACCTTCACCACAGTGAAAATCTGGTACTAAAGCACACAGGAAGAAAGCAGTCAGGGAGGTAAGTGGACCACTAGGCAGGAAATAATTTACACAATGAAATAAAATGCAGCTCTTGAAAAAATGCCTATGAGGTATTTCTCTAAGTCCAACTATATTCCACTTATGAAATAAATGCAAATTCCATACCTGCAGCCTTTTAGATCCTGAGCGTAGATTTTTGACTGAATCCAAATTTTAATAAAGGCATGTGTTCTGTGAGGTATGGACTTGGTCAAGGGGCACACTTGAGGACCCAGAAAGATACATAAGGTCCTGAGGCTCCAACTCCACCACCCCTTAACTTAATGAATAAAATATGTGCTGAACTTGTATTTTTGCTACAAGTTACAGTGGAATATAACTATGAACCCTTTTCTGGCTCATTTTATCCTTAAAACTATGCTATAGTTACTACTTGTCCCATTTTACAATTAAGATTCATCAATCTTACAAGCTACCCTTCAATCACCAAGTTGAGATGTTAGCATGAGCCATAATTCAAATTCAGTTTGTCTAGCAACCTCAAAACCCATAGACTTTTCTTTTTTCGCAGTTTTTGAATGGGGCCTGGTTTGAACCCACCACCTCCAGTATATGGGGCTGGTGAGGTGCTGACCAAAACCCATAGACTTTTCACTATACTGCCATGCTCTCTGAAAGCTCAGCAGAGAACTCCTCCAACTTTCCTGCTCTTATATGGACTGAACTCACCAAATACCATGTTTTCTCATAAAACTATGAGAAATGGTGGTTGGGCGTCTGTAGCTCAGTAGTTAGAGCACCAGCCCTACAGGGCTGGTGGGCTTTTTGGGATCCCCAAATATGCTCAGGGTCTGCTTAACAAAAAACAACAAAAACAGTGAAACTACACAACGGGGTCAGACTTGTAAATTTTTAATCATTGTTTTTCTAGGAATGATTTACAACGAAATTAAAAGTAAAAAAAAAAATTATATATATCAGCTCCAGACCAAGGAGGGCAAACAAAAAGAAAATTAAAAAATAATTTAAGGAACAAAGTTACAACTAAACTTCTCCATACCAAGGACTATGCCAAGAACTTCTCATAAACTTCCATATCTAATTACCACACTGGCACACAAGATATAGGCATCATGACCCCATTTTACAAGTCAGGAAATATCTCTATAGAAGCTAAGGAACTACCTAAACATACGTGATAGTGGAACGAGAATCTGAACCCAGGCAGATTCCCAGGCATATCTGTGTGCTTGATCAGATTCATCTCGGCTGTTTGTATACACATACATACACAAAAATACATCATCCTTTATAAAACACTATCTTATTAACATGCAGCAAATCTTTAAAAAATGCTGGTTTTGAGTCAATAAATTTCCTGATTGCTTCAAATATCCATTATTATAAAACTATAGTAGTAACAAAATGAAGAAAATAAATGGAACTAAGTAGTCAGCAACAGAGCTGAGGAATAACAAGGAATATCAAAACCTATTATTTGGAGAAAATATATAATATTTGTTACTTGGAACCATGCATAATGCTTATATAGATAGGAAATATAGAAAAATATGGTAATAAGGATATATGCAATTACATTTTTATTCTTAATTTTATAAAGACTTTTATTTTTCTTTACAACTAAGGTAGCTAAGAGACAGGTAATAGCTACTTTGCCTTTATATTCTTGGCACTTATGTGTTCTTTCTTACATTAACTGTTCCACATCACAGTAGTTTTCCAATTCGTTTGACTAAGCTAACAAAGTTTTACACCAAAAAAGTCAAACATAGTAAGTGATCCACTAATCTGTAAACAAAATCTTGGAACTGAAAACACCACAATGTTAAAAGAAAAAAAGCTTTGTAAACACATCTTAAAGCTACAGGAATTTAAGCACCGGAGAAATATGCTCCTTTGACCTCCTTCCCCAATCCTTTAAGCATTGTGCTTTTGGGTCTCAGACCCCGGTCCCAAGAGTCCCTCTGACTCCATCTCAGATTTCATGAGGATGGAGCTGGGCCACTAGGCTCAGGTCTGGCCCTATTCTCCTCATCTGCCAAAGCCTCACAATACTGCGCCGGCCAGTCCTTGGGGTCTTGATTGTGGACTTTGGCCACAAACTTAAGAACTTTCATCTTGCTGGTTTCCAGATGGGTTCGCGGGCCCCACTGGAATTCGTAGTCCACGGGATCCGTGTGGGGAATCCGCCGGTATTCCAGGTAACGCTGCTTCACAAAGTCTTCCGTAATCAGTTTTTTTGGGTCCCCAAATATCAAATGTTTCTTGGTGGGGTACACCCCTAACCGCCGCAGGAAGTCCCAGACTTCGGTCTCTTTAATGGTGTTACCCTTCATAAAGATGAGCCCCAAAACGATCATGAGGAGGCCGGTGGTGGGCGTCCCTTGATCGCCTCTCACCTCAGCGTCCTCCTCCACCGGTTCCAGGGTGTTGACCAGGATGTAGGTGTTGCTCTTGGGCTCCAGTTCCACCAGCTTGTACCCGAAGACGTACTGGAGGCGCTCGGAAGCGAGTTTGAGAAGGTCCGGGAAGATGTCCTTGTAGTCACCAACGACGTGCTTCAGGATGTCGGTCCGCTTGATCGGAATCTTCTTCTGGTCCTTAACCAGCAGAAACTGCACCAGCTCGGCCACCTTCAGCTCCAGCTGCTTCTGGGTCCTGGGCCCCACGGAGGGGGAGGCCTGGGCCCGGCGGGCGCCCTGAGAGGAGGCGCCGGGGGTCTCCTGTGAGCCACCCGGCCCGCGGGACGTGCTCGGGGCCTCCTCAGCGACGTGGCCTCTGGGGCCCCGGGCGTCCCCGTCCCGGCCACGGTCTCTGTCCTTCTCCGACTGGGCGCTAGAGCGGGGCCGGCTCCTGGGTTTTTGCAGCATGTTCCTGGTCTGAGGCAGCCGGCACCAGATCCAGCAGGCGGGCGGAGCGCTCGGCGTAACCGCGACTGCGCCCGCTGGGATGAAGTCAGCGTGAGGTATTTACGCGCGGCCGTGGGCGGGGCCGCAGGAGGCGCGCGGGCCGCCGGCGGGGATGCGCGTTGCGTCACAAAGGCTACGCGACGCGTCACGGAGGCTGCGCATTGCGCTTGCGCAGCATCTTGGCGTGCGGAGGAAAACTTGGGTTTTCTCTTAACGCTTCGCTTTGCGGGTCGGAGCAATGACTTTTTAAATTAGATTATGTTCTTGCCAAACCATACGAATAGAGAATTAAAACTCTGGCTGAATGCAGGACCACACGGGCAAGTTTTGCAGACAGTATTAAGAGTTCTTAAATGGGGTACATATGTAAATGAGGGACCTCAAAGAATGAATGGGAGAAAAATAAGGTAAAGAGGAAGGTGAGGCCTTGGAAATTAAGGGCATTTATTTCTACGGAAACTTAGGACATAAAAGACCCAGAGGACTTTAGTTTCGTTCCTTTCCCCTCCTGTCACCGCCCTTATTTTCTCCAGCGTCCCTGGGAGCCCAGTATAAACGAATGTTTGATAAAGGCAGACTTTCCTTGCCAGCAAGACTTCTTTTCTCTTATTTCCATATTTATATTCCTTGCATCAAATTCCTACCAACTAGTCAACTAGGGGAAAATCACTACTCAAAGCATGTGTGCAATATGTTTTAGCTTTGTCAAATGAGTTTATTTTCTGGAAAACAAGCTCATGAAAACTGCCGTGGGCCCACAACCACTATTTTAACACAAGTGGGTAAGAGGAATGCTATGGAGAAATGTGCTGTCTCAAGGGACTTCCATTTAATTTTGAGCATCACTGATCAAGGATTGCAGTAATGTACATCTCTTAAATATCTTAATTCTTAAGATGTTAGCTTTAAGGCTTGATAAGAAAGAAAAGAACACGGGGTATTATCCCTCATAATGTGTGGTGTGTGTAGTGTGTGTATATATATTTTAATTGTGCAGTGGTAATAGCCAAAATGAGTCGTTTTTATTAACTGGAACCATCAGCAATCTGCTGCCATTACTTCTACAGATCTTAGCAAATGCCTTACTTCACTATTGATTTGCAAAGAAGAAAGTGAATTTCCCTCTGTCTTTTTAAAGCTTCTCAGCAAGTGGCTAAACTCTTCAGAGAAATCAAATCAAATTGAGTTCCTCTTTAATGCAAATATATTCCAAGGAAAGCAATTCAGAACGTATTATTTGAATAATAACATTAAACACAATCTTATTAAAATTTAGCTGAATGTTAGTAGCATAAAATTTTTGTTTGTAATTCAATATAAAAATGCAATCTGATAGTGGCATTGGAACTGAAATACTAAATCATATTCCATGTTCTGATGCTAGTATACAAAAATCTGCTATTTTTCTATTCCACACAAAATCCAACTGTATCCTCACACATGAATTTTAATGACAGAGGCCTACTAAGAAAAACAAATGTATCAATAAAAAAAGAAGAAGAGCAAATATATTATCAAGGCTATTCATTTTTTTACAATGAGAAAGTTCATCTTCAGTTTTCTCGAAAATTAAAATTTGGACTTAAGTTCAAAGAAGCCTCCTGCAAACTAGAATCTTGAAAAGATCCCTTCAGAAGGATCACCTGTACCCTGAACTAAAAAATTTCAGCAACCAAGAGAAAAGGGAAAAGTGGAAAATAAGATGAAAGTTGTATACCTTTGTATACCTTTCTTGCTAAGGTATAAAAATTACCAAGCAGCCTCACTGGTTAGGCTATCACAGTAACTATACAGAAATCAGCACTCTTACCTGGACAGCTGATTGTCATTACTCAATATAGGTGACACAAAATACCAATTTTAAGTCTTAGAACACCTCTCTACACTCTTCCCAGAGGAATGCAGGTTAAGATTAACACTGGAAGCCATAGATGTCTGGGAAGAGACTAATGATAACACTACCACCAATAACAGTAACTACAAACAACAATGATCATACAGTAAGTGGTACCCCCTTATCTGTGGTTTTGCTTGCCATGGTTTCAGTGACTTGCCATACTGAAAAAATATTAAGGTATTTTGAGACCACACTCATAATTTTTATTATAGCATATTATAATTGTTCCATTTAATTATTAGTTGTTAAACTCTACTGTGCCTAATTGATAATCTTTCTTACAGCTATATATGTATATAAACCCCCCACATTATGTGTGTGTGTGTGTGTGTGCGCGCAGGATTTCATACTCTACACAGTTTCTGGCATCCATTGATTGATAGGCTTGGAAAATATTCCACCCCCACCCCTGAGATAAGAGGAGATCACTGTACAAAGGTAACTGTGGGTCAGACCTTATCCCATGTGGTTTATAAGTTATTACTTCCTTTAATCCCCACAGTAAGCCTATGATGCATGTCAATTTTTTATGTTTCTCTTCTCAAAAATGAAAAGGTAGGCAGAGAGAAGATTAATAACTGTTTTGAGGTCCTAACGCAAGTAAGTGGTAGATCTGGGATCAGAACTCAGGCAGTTTGCTTCCAGAGGCTGTGCTTTTAACTATATGCTAGTTAAGAGCAAACAAATAGATATGGTGTCTTTGAAAACTTGAGGGCTTTGGAATCAGATGGACTGAGATTAGAAACCTGTATGACACCGGGAAAGCTATCGACACTCCCAGATTTCAGTTTGGAAGTCAACAAAAAGAGAGTTCTCATCGTGGTTCCAGGGGATTAAGTGAGATAAGTTTGCCATGTACCTAGCACAGGGCTTGGCAGACAGTTATATAAGAGTTTTTTTTTTTCCCAAAGGGTTTTGTTAAGAACTACACAAAGCTGTATGTGGCGTAGGGGAGGCAAAACTTTACTCTCTAGTGGTCTTGCTGGACCTGAAAATGAAATTGACATACAATAGATTCACAGGAGGAAAGCATACAAATTTAACATAAATTCCTTGTGACACAGGAACCCTCATATGGAAATAAAGGCCCAGAGACATGGTGAAACCTAAATGCTTTTGTATTTCCTTGAATGAAAAGAGGTAATTATGGGAAAAGTAAATCAGGTGGGGAGGCTAAAGGCTGATTATTTTCAAGGTTGTATAAAACGTTCTTGGCTGTGACATCAAATAATGTTTCTTTTCTCCTGATACACTGAAAACATCTTTCACATGGGAGTTTTTAATCTACTGTTTTTCAGGAAGGGAAGAAAAGAGATTAGAATGCCCTTCTTACATCTGTTATTTTTCAAGTCCCTTAGCTCAAATAAATCCGTATGCCAAAGTGGCATATTTGAGGCAACATCATATTCTGCCACCCTTGAGTAGAATAATAAGAAAGATGTTAACTGCAGTGAAAAACATGTACACATAAAAACTGGGAAAAGGTCTGGAAAGAAATAGTATCAAGATGCTATTAAAGTTTTCACTATAACCTCAAACTCCTGGGCTCAAGTGATCCTCCTTGTTTCAGCAGCCTGAGTAGCTAGGACTACGTGACATTATGCTCAGCTAATTAAATTTTGTTTTATAGAGATGGGGTCTCACTTTGTGCTCAGGCTGGTCTCAAACTCCTGGCCTCAAGTGATCCTCCTTAAGGTTATTTTATTTTAAAAATGAAATTCAATTCTGATTTTCTTGCTTGAGAGATAAATGAGAAAGATACTCTCAGTGAAGTTTAACTTCACAGTGTAACCATGCCAGAGCAGTTACACACACTCTGATGTTCAATAAATTCAGTGTGATCTGAATATGGCATTTGTGACTTTCTGTTCAGGCAGTGACATAACAAAGACAAGTAGTTATAAAAGAAACACATTTTCAAACACTTTATGTTACTTAATGACCTTCATGCTCTTATTACTATGCCCAAAGAGGGGAGAATTCTTTGAGGCAAAAACTAAGATTTCAGTTGTTCTTCAGATGTCTCTAAGTAATTAAATGCTTTATTTCATCTCCTTAGTAGCAAATGCTTGCCAGGAAACACTAATCATTTTTATTATCTACTAGATTCTCCTCTTTGTTCACTGGTATTTCTTGTAAAACCAGAAAAAAGGCTTTAATATTCTGACAGCAACATAGTACTGAAAGCAGGTGAGGACTTTTGGGGAAGAAAGGCTTTGATCAAAGCATGCAGCCACCAAATATAAACAATCTTCTGCCTTTTCCAATGGAAGAAAGTGGGACAGTGTGCAGCACATGAGTGAGGGAGTTTGGGGGCAAATACTGTTTTGGTGGACAGACAGCAGGAAAAGCAATGGAGATGTTTTAATGGTTGCAATAAAATCCCTGGTGTCCACTCATTTGTAACAGCTGTGTACAAAAATTTTGTGGCAGAAATCCTTCCTGTTGAGATCACATAGCAGAGTTCCTAATTAACATTTTCTTCCCTTATAAATAAATATTTTGATTAAGCAGCAACAGAGCACTCCTTGGCTGGTGGGAAGGGGTGAAGAGGCGGGCCTTGGTAAGACAGTGCTGCCATGTGGCCCAGTAACCTCTTCTTAGTCTCTCTTTTTAAGAAATAAAAATCTTCTAGAAAAATCATTAAGCTCTATTAAGTTATGAAATTACAAACGTAATGGTCTTGACAGTGGCTACTAAGATTCTTTCTGTTTGCTCGGTTTCTTCCCTTTGTTCTGCATCCTTTCCCTTCCCTGCCTCTTCCCATCTGTGGGAGACCTCGGTGGGTTAGGACTCTCCTTTTCTTTCCCGAGCATGGATAACTCAGGCCAGACACAGTGACTGGTCTGTATCCTTTCAGGGCACTCACACGGATTCTTTTTCCTTCCTCTAAGTAATGAGCTGAGGGCTGATGTGAGCCTGGCCATCTTTCCCATCACTTGGGGATAACCTGCCTCAGGTGAAGCCAACTCAAAAGACATCTAAATGGGTGGCACCTGTGGCTCAAAGGAGTAGGGCGCTGGCCCCATATGCTAGAGGTAGAAGGTTCAAACCCAGCCCTGGCCAAAACTGCAAAAAAAAAAAAGACATCTAAGCAAAGGAACAGCA